TAACAGTCTTAGTTTGACCAGAGGCCCATAGGTCTTGCCACCAAACAGGCCAGTGACCAACCACCCAGTTGGCATTGTACCACGTTGGTAGCCACAAGGTCAAGCCCTAATAGATGGCCCAGCTGTCAGTACAGACAACTATAGGGGAGGGCTGCTGGGTGATCATGAGCCACACTGCCTGCAACTCAGCCCACTGACTGCTCTTCCCCTCTCCATCCTCTATCCATATTGTCTCAGTCTTAGGATGGAAAGCTACAGCCCTCCACTTTGGGGGCTGTCCGTGACTGGAGCCATCTGAATACCAAGCATCTTCAGGTATAGGGGCTTTTCCCTCCTGATAAGGACTCTTGGCTACCAATGGCTCAAAAGCAAGTTCTTCCTGGTTTCCACTGATATACATCACTGGCCCCAATAAACATTGGAGTTCTCCACTTAAGGAGCTATTGGAGAGTGTGCTACACTGCTGTAAATATGCACCTCATTTGGCCAGTGTAGGTGTCTGCGCCCTGCCACTCTGTGGCCTTTGGGTCCAGTCTCGCACCCACCCCATGATGGGATAGGTAATTATTACCTTGGTCAGAGCTGTTCTGGTGATGGGCTCCATAGCCAGCAAGGTGTGGTACACAACAGCCAGTTGTTTCTCTATCAAGGTGTACCGAACCTCTGCTCCTTTCCATAGTTGTGACCAGAATCCAATAGGTTGGCGTTTCCATTCAAGCCACTGCCAAAGACCTCATCATAACCATCTTCAGTTACATAAACATCTAGCTCACAGGGCCTTGATGAGTCCGTTACACTCAAGGCCTGTACAGCCTTGACTACTTGCTTAGCAGTAGTAAAAGCAGCTGCATGTTTCATTCCAGTCCCACCTGATGCCCTTTTGTACCAACCAGTATAAGGGCTTCAGAATCTGTACCAAGTGTGGGATAAACACTCTCCAGCAGCCCAAAGACCCAAAAACTCTTGTTAGACTGCCACAGTGGTAGGAGTAGGGAAAGCCTGGACTTTGTCTATGACTGCTTCTGGGATAACTTAAGTTTTACCTGAGCAGACAATCCCCAAGAACTTTACAGACAAACCAGGTCCTGAACATTGGTGCTGTTCAGTCCATCCTTTCTCCTGTAGATGTTGCAGTAGTCTAGAAACTGCCCCTTCTAAATCTGCAAGAGAATCATACATGAGCATATCATCAATGTGGTGATACAGTTGCACCATTTGCTGTTTTTTCCATTTGGCCAAGTCCTGGGCTACAAATCTGTGACAGATGGTGGGACTATGGAGGTATCCCTGTTGGAAACACAGTGAATGTCTACTGCTGGTCTTCCCGTGTGGAGGCAAACTGTTTCTGACTTTCCTGTGCTATGTCAATAGAGAAGAAACCATTAGCAAGGTCCATAATGATATGTTCCTAGTTCATGACTGAGGGTGTCCATAAGAGCTGCTATAGAGGGGACAGCAGCATGCAAAGCGGGTGTGACTTTACTTATTTCCCTGTAATCCATGGTCACGTGCCAAGAGCCATCCCGCTTTTCAACTGGCCACATCAGGGAATTGAAAGGACTATGAGTGGGCTTTATGATCCCCACCTTCTCTAACTCCTATAGAGTTTCTCCAATTTCCTTGTGCCCCTCAGGCAATTTATATTGCTTAGTATTTGTCACCCACCGAGATACAGGCAGAGCTACAGGTGGGTACTTAGCATGTCCCCTCAGAACTGCCTTTACCACACATACCCTCAGTCTGAACTCACCTACAGTGGTCTGTAACTACAGGCCCTGCAGGATATCTACCCCCAAAATATATTCAGGGATGGATATATTTTATACATAGTATACTCCTTTGGGGGTAGATGCCCTATCCCCAATGGGATTTGGGCTTTCTTCCCTCTAATTGCCTTACCCCTATAGCCATCTATCACAGCAGGGGTACTGGGAAAACACTCAGGATTGCCATAAATTAGAGAACATTCAGCTCCTGTCTCCACCAATGCCAGGACACATTGTACACTCACAGGGGACCAGTGAATTCTAATTTTACTTGTGGCCTCTGGTCCCCACCACATCCCCAAAGGTGGGGGCCTTGGCACACCCCTCAGTCGAACTTCAATGCTGGAGTGTGTCTCTCTCCTCGATAACTCTGTCCACTATCTTGAGAAACAAACATTTCACAATCCCAGCTGCTATACGGCCTCTCAGGGCCTCTAAGCAGTCTTGTATCTATCTCATGGGGGGCTAATTCTACAGGTTCCAGTGTCTCTACCGTTCCCCAGTTCTGGGGAAGTCCCCACTCCTCTAGGAGGTGCTTTACCCTAGACCAATTTCCCACTAGAGGCTCCTCAAGAGGAAGCCCCATTGATAGGGGGTTCCCAGGTGAAGCCGCACCGTCCACCACTGCCGGAGGTTAAGGGTGAGTCATTACCTCCTGCTGCAGCAGCCACTGGGGCCTCCTCACCATCCACAGGGGCAGACTGCCCACGCATCACACCCCTGGAGACAGATTTTGGGTTCAGAGGTCCTGCTGACTACCTCTAGATGTAACTCCAGAGGGAAAATATTTTCCCATCCTGGGGCAAATTACCTTTGAAACCAAAATCAGCCAAAAGGAGAAATAAAGTGGGAGAAACCCATTTATTGCTTACAAGCCATCTACAAGCTCACCCCTGTCTCTCGAGACCCAGCTGCAAAAAGGGACCCCACCCAACCTCTCTGATCCAGATATGTCCTTGCTCCCCCAAGTAATCACCTATTGATATGGAGATGGACTACTTCTCTCCACACTCCTCAACACCTATTGATATGGAGGTGCCCTAAGGCCAGGGAAGAGATTTTTGGAAATACTAAATTTTATTCACAGTCCTTGTTACTCCATATGGCTCTGGTCCTTTGATGAATAGATCCTGTGTCCGGGAATGGCTGCAGCATTGATGAGGTTGAGGTTAAGGATAATCCCACTCCTTGGCCAGAGGATGGGCAGTGGGCCATGACCTTCCTGAGGATGACAGGACATAGAAAGCACCAACTGACAGACAAGCCCCAGGTGGGAGTCCCCTTCTTTTTTCTCCTTCAGAGGGTAACTAGAGACCCAAAGAGGACACAAAGGAAATGTATGTGTGTTGGGGCTGGCAGTTGCCATACTCAGAAATTATTGTTTGCTGGTGAGGCCCAAGATTAGGATTGAGGTTTGTAATTCCAAAGCCCTCCCACTCTTCATGACAGTTGACTGGCACTTCAGTATTGGATATGTGCAGGTACTATTAGTGAGGCTTGGGAAGTAAAAAACAGTTGTGTTATGGTAGTGTACTAGAGTGTGCTCTGAGACTTGATGCCAGTATTTTTTAAATCTTGATTGACAAGAACCTGGGATAAACTACTATTGTAAAGGCGCTTGCAGTTTGCTGATTTATGTTTTGAACGAAGACTGCTGTTTCATTTTGAAACATCTCTTCTCAATGTTTGAGTGGTCTTCTTGTTTTGGCAAAAGCAAACACCCATTCTTAAAGTGGAACAGACAGGACACAACTGAACTGCTCTGCATAATAACGCCAACGGAAGTCTTTTATGTTAACTGGGAATCTGGTCTCAGAATGGGTTGAGATAGAGGTGGAGCGGACGCTCTCTTCTGTTGATGGCTTGTAAAAGATGTTGAGAAAAGTGGGGACATGACTTTGGGGAGAGGAGAGTCCTTTTGGGAGGTGGTGGGCTATAGCCACTTCTGAATCTTCTTCTCAGCTTTGTAATTCTGTTATTCCTGAAGTTTCAATAACATCCTGGTGTTAGCTATGTTTTGAGGAAGAGGGACCTATGTCCACTTAGGATTTGCTTCCACCTTTTAGAACCTGCCCCCCATACCTCTAGGCTGAAGTGGTAGCCACCAGTAGGTAGCTGGTGGTTCGACATCTCTAGGGTGTGGCTTGCAGCAGAATTCCAGAACATTGTTAATTGAGCAAACGATGAGTCTGTAGCGGGGAGTGCCTGTGTTGAAACTGAAGCATGTCTGAAAGTCTGGCCTTAACTAAATCACATGTAAGGATCAAGTGCAGCCAGGGACGGATTTGGGGGATCTGAAAACCTTTTGAGGATTCCCAGGACTGTCTTGGGGAGGGGACTAAAGTTTCTATCACTAAGTAGGTTGGGACTTTTTCTGTTGTTGATAATTAACCAGAAGTGAGACCTCTAGATAAGGGAAGGAGAGTAATTTAGCAGCATTCCCTGCAGCCCAGGGGAGACCAGCAGGTACTAAGTAGGCCATAGGTAGCTTTTCATCCGTAAGTTTCTGTGAAGTCTTCCTTGAGTTCTGCCCCTCCCTTCCCCTCCCCCGCGTGTGGCTTTCCTTTCTTTTGCTCCTACTGCACTTTGAGCACACCTTTATCATAACAGCCAATTATCTTGTAATTCGTATTCATGTCTCCCCTGGTAGACTGACCTCAAGGGCAAGGGCGAAGGACTGGTGCTGGTACTCAGACCCCGGTTCAAATACCAGTAATACCACTAGCTAGCTTTGTGACCTAAGACAACTTACTCGTTCAAAGACTCCATTTCCTTACTTACTAAAATTGGGCACTAGATTCCCCATCGCCTGCGGTTTGCTGGGAAAAAAAAATTCGACCAAGAGTGTCACGTGCCTGGCATAAGGTCTGTGCAAAATCAAGGGTTCTAGTAGGGTAAACATTTATTGACACGACCTACCCTTATTTTGTGCAGTCAACAAACATCTGTTCAGCACCTCACTATTTCAGGCTTCCGGGAGTGCTGGCTCCATGTTGGAGCAGCCTCACGTATCGTCAGTGGGCCTTGTCTCTCCTGCGATTCAGGACTGGCTCCGCGGAGAGAAAACCCCGCCCATATCATTTCCATTTGTCAGCGATTGGACCGAGACCGCCCCGCAGGCACTGGTTGCTAGGCTCGGGATGTGGGTGGGGCTGGTCAAGGTTGCGCAAGCGCAGATTGCTGAGAAAGGTGTTTTCCGGTAGGGCGGGAGGAGGTGACGTCAGGAGCTGTGGCAGGCAGGGACCTCCCGCAGCCCCGGGGACGTTATATCTGTGGGCCCGCGAGTCGCGTCACAAGTCGGCGACTGAGCCTTGGCGGAGGTGGCCGAGGCGGCGAAGGCGGCAGCGGCGGCGACAGCTCTGGGGTTTGCGTCTCGGGGTGTGTCGGCCGCCGCTGCTGCTTGGGCCTGGTATGTACAAATGGCTGGTTAGGATTCTCGGCACCATTTTCCGTTTCTGTGACCGGTCGGTGCCGCCTGCCCGGGCCCTCCTGAAGAGGCGGCGCTCGAACAGGTGAGAGGAGAGGGGGCCGAGTACCGGCCTGGCTGTACCCCCTCTCCAGCCCGGGCCTCGGCAGGGGTAGCGCTGATCAAGCTAGGCAGGCCCAGCCCAGCCGAGACATTTGCCTGGGCCGAGGCGGTAGAGGTGCGGGTGCGTGGTGTCTTAGTGACGTAGTCTCTCCCTCCACGCTGTGCAGATGCGGCTCCTAATCGTGGAACCAGCTAGTTGTCTTTGGAGTGGCCGGTAACGGTTGGGATCTTTCATGTTCTCGTCCGAGTCCAAGCAGGTTGCTGTCAACAAATGGGGTTTATCATTATTTTCCTGCCCATAATATGAACACTAAAATTGAAGGAATACCATCTTTGTTGTGGTTCACTGTTTACAAAGCACACTCCTAAGCGTCATATGTGGGTAAAAAGTACAGTTAGAGGAAGTGAGATTCATAGCTTGCCCAAAGCTGTTTAACTGCAAATACTGTTCTCTTAGCACCAAGAGACAGCAGCTGTCTTGTTCTGAAACAACTGTCAAACTGCGTGTGTGTTGTGCCTGTGCGTTTAGGGGTGAGAGAGGGTGGTTCTGTGCTTTCTAATTAGTGTATGAGAAAAGTAAATAGGTACTTCACTCCTTTAAACAAAACACTAATCTGTGCTCTAAAATCCGTATAATTTCTTGGTTTGTCCCATTTCATAGTTTATACCCTCTTGACAAAGAATTAATCTAGAAAATAAAATATACCAATTTTATGCACTCCCCTTCTTCCCTGCTAATGATAATCTGTTAATTTCATTTTTTATTAAGCCTCAAGTTTCTTGCTTGAGAAAACAAGATGAAGATTATACAAATCTGAGAATGCAGATCATTGACGAAATTGGCTGTTGACTAGATTCTGTCATGTGTTTTACAGAAAGCAGGGCTTCAAGTTACTCCTCCTTTCTACCTATCTAAAGAGTTGATAAAAGGATCATTTGACAACACATTGTATAGTGCCTAAAATGAATCTTATTTTATATAAGGGTAGTATTCATTCGACCTTAAGTGCCATGTGCAGAGGTTGCTGCATAATAGGTACTTGGTACATATTTATTGCCTAAGGGAATGTTAATTACCTCTGCCATCCTTTCTTTTTGCTAGTCAGGGAAACAATGGTTTGGAAATCAAAGCACTATGTTTTACTACACATTGTTAATCTAGAACAACTCTTTTTAATGTAAGCCATTTTTCAGTTAAACGAACCTAGGAGGTCTTGTTGGAATGTTTAAAGTTATGAACTGAATAGTATTCTTATGGGATTTATTCTGTTCACTTTTTTTTTTTTGAGAGGGCATCTCTCATATTTATTGATCAAATGGTTGTTAACAACAATAAAATTCTGTATAGGGGACTCAATGCTCAATGCATGATCATTAATTCACCCCAAGCCTAATCCTCGTCAGTCTCCAATCTTCTGAAGCATAGTGAACAAGTTCTTACATGGTGAACAAATTCTTACATAGTGAATAAGTTCTTACATGGTGAACAGTACAAGGGCAGTCATCACAGAAACTTTCGGTTTTGATCATGCATTATGAACTATAAACAATCAGGTCAAATATGAATATTCGTTTGATTTTTATACTTGATTTATATGTGAATCCCACATTTCTCCATTATTATTATTATT